TAAATTGCCTTGTTAATCCAATTGAAAATGCCGCGTTTCTCTATTATTTTTCAATCCAAGTTCTTCTGTTTTTTGAAAACACAGCAGATTGAATGATAGTACCTAGCCAATAAAATTCATTTTCTTCATAGGTTTTGCAGGAGTAAGTTTGCATTTTTCGAATATTTTGTGACTAATATAAAACTTTTTTTGTAGAAATGTATATTTTTTTCGAAACATTGACAACATGAAATGACGTCATCTATTTTTTTCGGTTTAATATCTATATATCTAGACTCCTGCAACTTTTCAGTGCATTTCAGGAGTCCCACTGGTCAAAATTTATAAACGCAGGTTACTTTATTGAAAAAAAAAAAGAATAGTCACTCTATTAGTGGATTTGACATCGAAAAATAAGCTCACAAGCGGATTTTCTGGAATATTCTACAAACTTCTACTTATAGAATTCTATTCCGAATCCGCAAGTACCTAACACAAAACTAGTGACTTTATTACTGGCGTCAACATCGAAAAACAAGCTTACAAGCGCATTTTCTGGAAAATTCTTCACATTTCTATAGGATTCTACATATTTGTAAACCGTGAGTAATGCAAGAATAGTTCCGTCATTACTGATTTCTATATCGAAAAACAAGTCCACAAAGTAATTTTCTAGAACATTTCATCGTGCTTTAGTTGTAAATTTGACTTGGCCATAGAACTTCAAATTCAAACTCAAGTTTCAAGAAAGATGCCTACAGAATATTCTATGGCAAGCAGACGAAATGGAGCAAGTTAATCAAATATTGGCGGACTTCATGAAGAATTTGGACGAAAAAAGACAAGAAGAAGAAGACTGAAGGTAAAAAGAACAAGACCGGCTTGCAACACTTTTATAACAACAAAAAAACTAAAGACAGAAAGAAAAACCAGAAGAAGAAGGCCGAAGACAGGAAGAACAGGACTGACTTGCAGCACTCTTACAACAACAAGAAGATCGAAGACACAGAGAGAAACAAGAAGAGGAAGACCGAAGACAGAAAGAGAAACTATAGGGTGTACCAATAGCAATGATAGAACTTTAATTTTGAATAAAACACGAACCTTTCAAGTTAGAAAAATAAATTCTATGTTTATCGAAAATATATTTTATGCCATTTATGTTTTGAACAAAACATCATTTGAATGTCATCCTTTTGATGCCCTGGCAGACGCGTATATGATGGGTGCAATTTCTCATGACTCGTGCCAATAATAATGCCGCCAGCCCACAAATCGTACCAAATTTTTTGGAGGGTATAATTGTTTCTCTAGCAGTTGTCGGGGATTGTTTGCTCCCCAATAGTGCATATTTTGTTTGTTGGCGTACCCATTGATTCAAAAATGGGCTTCGTCGCCGACGAAGATTTTTTGAAGAAAATTATCTTCAGCGACGAAGCCCATTTCTGCCTGAGTCTGCAGGGCATCAAGCGGTTGACATTCAAATGATGCTTTGTTCATAACATAAATGGCATAAAATATGTTTTCGATAAATACACAATATATTTTTCTAACTTAAAAGATTCGTGTTTCGTTCAAAATTAAAGTTCTATCACTGCTATTGGTACACCCTTCAGAAAAACAGGACCGGCTTCAGGAAAACTTTAAATTTCAGCGTGAATGGTTGCAAACCGTAATCTCTGATGAATAAACTAGACTCGCGAAAATTCTAAACGTACAAGATAACAAATTCACGAATGCAATGGAAGAAGTACCTACGTGAAGAATTTCGAGAAGAAATTGGGAGTGTACGTCACGTTCAGTCAGGAAGTTGGGAATGTTTATCAGAAAGTTGAAACTGTTCATCAGGACGTTGGAACCTTCCGCCACTAAATGGATAGTGTGCAAAATAAAATAAAAGAGTTGGAATGTGACTTGAGATCAGGAAATATCTCCTCCTCGTCTGCACCTAGTATCAAAGTTAAGCCACCACCCTACGACGGACAGACATCATGGGCGATGTACAGACATCAATTCGAGACTGTTGCAATGGCTAATGGCTAGAGTTCCGATGACATTGCTACAGCCTTGATTGTAGCATTGATTGGCCTTGCCTCAGACCTTTTAGAGACTCTTCCACCAGGTTCCCAACAAAACCACAGCTTAACAAAACTATGGGGCGCTTGTTGATGGGTTGGGGCGTCGTTATTGAGACAACTAAGAACAAAGCAACAAAAAGCTGCAGAAAGCCTTCAAGAATTTGAAACCGACATCCGCCGCCTGATTAATTTGGCCTATCCGGAATCAACAGCAGAAATGCGAGAACAACTAGCGGCCGAAAATTTTACATACAAGTTTATCTGTTTTGGAAATATTGACAGTTGAAAATTGACTTTTCCGCAACTTTGACACGCTGTGAAACCTAAACGGTTGATTTTAGAGGAAAACCGAGCTTACATTCTTCATAGATTTTCATAGACTATCATTTGACCCCAACTTTGAATTTATCCGAAGATTAAATTTAATTGGAATTTTCAATAATGTCAATAAGTTGCAAAAGTCAATTTTCAACTGTCCATATTTCCAAAACAGTCGAGCTAAGGTATTGAAATTTAGTACCAAAATGTATGGAATTGAAAACCCTCCAAAATGATGTATCACTTCACCCCCCCTTCCCATTCAAAATATTCTAGGGCGTGGCTCTGGTGGCTGGGGGGTTGAAAGGGGGATGGTGAATTTTGCATAAAACTTCATCCCCCCTCAAATTAAAGTTGACGTGTTTCAGGGATTTTTTCGAAAAAGTTTAAATTTCGAGATAATAGGGGTGGTAAGTTTTAAAATGAATACCCTGTATGCAATTAAGGATATGGCTATACAGAGAATGCTGCTCATAACCAAACCATCAAATAGCAGCGAGAAATCGAGGCGGTCTATAAGGTTTCCGAAACAAAGATTAGAGATGTGTCGATTAGTAAAGCGAAAGAGTGGATGGAAGAAATTAACGGCACCATAATGAAGGAATTTCTGGAAGAATTACGGAAGGCTGTTATCAGAATCAAACTAGGAAACTTGAAAGGGAGCATTAAATGTTACCGCTGCGGAAGAAGGGGGCATTTAAGCGTGATTGTATAGAGTACGTTTGAGATCTCGCTCTCCTTTGAATAACTGTTAGCCTTCAATGGATAACTTGAACAAAAGCTCCGAATGTTACCGCTGCGTAAGAAAAGGACATTTCAAACGGGACTGTAGAGTACAACTGAGATCTCGCTCTCCTTCTGATGACTGTCAACCTTCTATTGAGAACTTGCAACGCCGAGCATGCCTAAAACAAGACCAGAACTGCCTAAGAATTGATCAGATAGAAGGAATTCCTGTCTTCTTAGCTTTCGATAGTATGCAGATAAAAAACGTAGTCACGGACAGCTGGAAATTGATCAACTGGGAGAGAGTGGCCTAGACCTCGAATCATTTTTCGACATTATAGGAAAGCCAGGGATCAACGAACTGTAAAAAAGAAAAATCTGGCAACCGAAGAAAGAAAGATCAAGAAGAAGATGATTGGTCGATCAGGACTTATACTGATCCAGAATGTTAAAGTTAGAATTGTTCAAACGGCCGCTCTTGAATTTTCATGAAGACGTGTGCTACAAGCTTACACAATACAAAATATTTTACTCGGGCAAATATAAAATATCCAGAAAATTATATAAATAAATATCCCAAATTATGAAGAGTTAATTGAGGGAAAGTCACATAAATAATATGTATATTTGTTTATCCAGTGTTTCATTGTTAATAGAATAAACATTACCTCCTTATTCCTAATTAAACAAATACCTCTCAAATTCCATAATCCATCATCTAAAACTACTTGAAATAAATTCGTGACTAATAACGTGTGATATATGACTAGAGCTATTATTTTTCGTAGCAACCCGTGCTTTCAGAGAGGTTAATACTTAAACACCTCCGCAAATATATTTTCATGTTTAGTTGAAAACCAGTTTTCAATGGGCATCTTTCATAACTATAAATATGTTATTATTATTTCATTTAACTATAAATAATAAATGATCAACTCATAAATACTTGCGCATATACCAAAGAAACGTTTGTAACAAACATTTCCATTACCTACTTAATTGAGAAAATTTTCTGCAGAACAGCGTAGTATAACCCGTAAATGAGCTATGCTCAAATGGAGTTGAAAGATTGGTCAAATGCAATTTGCTGCAGATTTGATTTGACCAACACTAACTTTGTTGAATTTTCCCAACTGTTTAAGGTATAAATTATATACCTACCCTTGAGTTGTTGAATATTGACGCAAATTCATAAGTGTACAAAGTGGACCCAACTTTTGAAAATAAGGTTAGTGAATCAAGTAAAAGGTAAATGTAAAAAAAATGGTACAAGCTTTTACCCATGACTTTCCTCGGCAATCATCCCACCCTTTTTTTGATTAATATCAGAATTTCCGGTGCCAATCTTGTAGAGCACATAAACCTCAAGAACTTTCAAATTTAAAGTATTTTTCTAAAATAAGTAGTTTTGAAAATATACAACAAAATATTTTTGAACATAAAGGGCCTCGTATCTTGAAAAGGAATAAAATATCGACAAAAACAGAAACATATCTATAATAAGCCCCAAGAACCGTAACTTTTTGCAAATATAACCAACTTCGTATCATTTAACGGTCTTGTTATTGCCGCATAGTTTTTGAGACGCTCTGTATATCTGTGAACGAAATCCCTTACATTGGCATTGCGGTAGGTGTCCAACGTGTACCAGAAAAATCGTTATTCTGGATTGAGCCGTTATTGAGCTAGAGCGCTAAAAGACAGATTGACCGACCGACCGACCGACAGACAGACAGAGAGACAGACGGACAGTCAAATATTTTCTCATCAGTGGATAATAGGTTTTCCTATTCTGGGTTTTCCCACGAACTGAATTTTGGTCGGCCGATTAGATACTTAGTCACCATATTATTTTTAATTATTATAGCTCACTACATTAGAAAATAAAATTTGACTTACCCATATCATATTTTTCTGTCGATACACTAGTAGTTTTGTCACTAGTAATAGCTTCAGAATTGCTAGACTCACTGGTTTCGATCATTACACGTGGTGTAACGACGGAAGTCCTAAAAATTGCCAAAAATTTATTGAGACTGGAAAATTAACAATTTGTTCAAATTATTTATGATAACTCTATTGCCTTTCATATCTAAAGGAATTTACCGCACTTCGCACTTGAAACCCAATAAGGAACCATTTAAATTATTTTTATCAATCAGACTGGCAAAAAGGATGCCCTATGTAAGTTTGAATTATGTTTGAAAAATCATTTGAAATAGAAGACTGCAAAAAATAGTCGTCTCAAACGTCAAAGCTAGAATTCCAAAAGTTACACATTTTCAGCTATCAGTTAAAAAAACTAGACAGGTATAGGTACTTAGGAAACATTTTTGAAATATGATATAAATACATACATACGTCAAGCGACTTATTTTTGAAGCCCTATAGAGCCACTTTTTCAAAATAGTCGAATAAAAGGGTTTTATCTCGTTTAGAAGTCGTTATTATAATCCCTGACAATATGGTGGCTTGTCAGAGTTCTATATTTCAAAGAGTTTTCAATTGTTGCTACAGGGTTATTAATTTTCTGTTAGAAATTTTGATCCTGTTTGTTAAGCTTTTTCTCTATCGCTCCAGCGGTGGTGTTAATTTTTTATGTTAAACAAGAGCTAGGTACCAAGTTCATTGGGTAATACTTACGGATTACTTTTTAGAATTTATTAGGTTTAAGTCGCGATTCATTCTATACATATCGGCACCGTATCGTCAACGATAGGTCAAATATTCTTACATTAAAAAGCAATGGTCGCATTATTTACACTATATCTCTACGGCACCGTCACGGTACCGTCCGGGCCGTCAAGTTCTCTCGAGGAGAATATTTGACGTAGGTACTTATAGTTGACGGTACGGTGACGTGACATTACCGGTACATATAGTATGAATCGCTCTTAAAGCGTCCTCTCGTTAAAAAGCTTAACAGCAATTTTTTTTTCCAATCCTATCCTTATTATAAATACCATGTCACTTAAGGTGATAAAACCATTTGAAATTATCCTTATTTACATCAACGATTTGAGAAAAAGTAGAATCTTACCCAAAAGCGTTTGAAGATTCTTGTGAATTTTGTTCCTCCTCATCCTCCCCAATAGTAGATAAATGCGATGATAGAATCCATTTGGATCCGTAACCATCCATATTATAGTCCACATCGTTTTCCTGGCCAGTATCATCTTCACTATATTCGAAATCAAATCTCTCACTATCCAAAAATCTCTTAACGGTATCAACCGAGGCTTCTAAGTCCTTCTGAAGCAATTTGGGTACAAAATCTACCAATCGTGGCAAAGTAACACTACTATCGCTCGATGAAGGATTATTAATTCTATCCCTTGATCGGGGAATAATAACTGGCCTTTTTGGAGTTTCAGGGCTTGAAATGTTACTCTGATGGTTTTCTTGATAGAAGAAGTCTGTTTCATCTTTAAGTTTACCTTCGTGAAAGTATTTGAAGGTCATTTCTTCCGTTCCATCCAGAATATTATTATTTTCTTCTATTCTATTAAACTTTTTATCTATAACTGGCAAAAGATCATCGTCGGTAAAATCATCTATAATATATGTTAAATCTAAGTGTTTTTGAATTGATGTTGGAGTTGACGGAAGGCTTCCTGCAAAACTCGATGTTGTGGTAGTTGGAAACGATGCAAACCTATAAAAAATAAAAAATTGTTATTGTCTGCCTTCCAAATGCCTCTGGGCACCCACACCTGAGACGAATTGTGAGACAAAGGTCAAAATTGAAAAAAAAAAGTGCAAAAAATAGGTAGGTAAGTAGGTAACAATGAATTGCTTTACTACCTACCTAATTGCCCAAAATAAAAATACTAAAAACTCGTGAAGAAAACCAATAAAAGATGCCTTTATCCAAGATTAAGTATTAACTGAAATTTTTAAATTGCTCAAAAGACCCTTGAGACAAAAAAAATATTGTTTCAAACAGTAGGTAGAAACTAGTTCCAAACAGTAGGTATATACTTAGTTCCTACCTATATAGAGGTAGCTATCATAGAAATATCCCAAATTTGCACACCATGCTACACTTCCAATGATTACAACACAATAACTGACTATTTGAAAAAAAATCAATGCCATTCATATTCATATTTTCTGCCAAAGAAAATTATTATTGACTGATTCATAGGGTCGGGCAATATTGGGTGAGTTTCTATTCTAGAGAAGTTTCGCATTCTAGGCCATTCCACAGGCACCTCTCTCATAGTAGACCAACGCAATGAAATAGAAAGATACATCCACCCAAGCATATTAACTAATTACTGCTAAGAATACAATCCGATCAGCCAGATCTAGCACCTAGCAGCTACTATAAAGTTATGTCAAATTAACCAGCACCAAAAATATCACGTCTAACTTGTCCAATTTTAACGCCCCTAATTTTTATTCATTACTTTGTGTTCATCACGATACAGGAGTCTAACTAGCACTCATATAAAACGTAGATACCTACATATCACCAACCAAACACTTAACATCCGCGCCTCCGTCGCCTCCAGAATTTTCATTTTTGAAAACTCAATAAGTAAGGAAGCCTATTACAACTTGCGAACTTATATTATTATTACAATATACCTAGGTACTGATCTTACCTATCTAATACAGTAGATATCGTACTTCCAGTATCATCCGATTCACTCAAACTTTTTGTTGATTCTTGAGAGATCAAATCAATATAAACTTCAGCATCTGGAGGTCCAAGGCTGCCATCAGATAGTCTTCTTGAAACGTCTGGAGAATATTTTTTCCGAAAACTATTCCTAGGCGATTGAAGCCGAGCTGACTTGCTTGAAAATGACTCCAATTGCTTTATAGTTGGCACAATATTATCATGAACATTTTCACCAAAATTTGGTAAATTTTTGTGTACTTTCCGATGCAATTTTCTAGGAGGTACAGGTGGAGGTTTTTTTTCTTCAGTACTAACAATAACTGGGAGATCCTCGGATGATTTTGCATATTGGGTATTAAAACAATGTTTCACTAAAAGCTTTATGGCAACGTTAGAATCTTTCAAAAATCTCACACAATCTATACGAGTCATACTATTGACTGGGACAGAATCTATTTCAAGCACTTCATCGCCTTCTACTAATTGACCCCATGAACTTTGAACCCTCGAAGCTGGACTATCCGGAGCACACGACTGGATAAATAATCTTTTAACAAATTCATGTGCTTTAGTACCTCCTTCAAATTTCAAACCAAAACCAAGTCTTTCGCCTGGTAATCTATAAATAATTACCTCTTCACACACATCTTTGATGGTTTTGGTTTCTTCATTTCCTATAGTAAGAACTGTAATGTATTCGGAGTTGTTGACAGCTTTCTTTGGAGTGCATGATTGGGTTTTGCCTTCGATTCCCACTGAGACCACTGTTACGAAAAGGTCTGGGGATATCTGGGACATCTTGATTACGTTTAGTGTTCATTTGCCTAGAAAAAAAAAAGAAATTTTAGCTGTGCCCAAAATATAAGCATAAGTCATTGCTTTTGTTCTGTGATATTAAATTTGATTAGATTGGTAAAACATTGTTTAGTAGGTACCAGAACACTTCCAGGTCCTCATTAAGTTTGAAATCGTTGATAAGTATCGTAGTGCAGAGTTTAATAAAGAACATCGCCAACATCTTATGGGTTTTCGGGGACCGGTCAATTTTTTTAAAAATTTGCTATGTTGTAGTACTAGCAAAAATAAGCATTTTTCATCATTGCACCAAATCTTCAACTATACAGGGTGACCTAGTAGAGTGGGTTTGAAAATCATAAAACAAGCCTTTTAACTATCGATGTTGGCGCGCCCTGCAAGCTACGTATCGGGATTTTTCTTTTCTATTTCGCAACTAAATAGTCTAGATAAGCCTAATATACTATACAGGGTGGCTAAGCTTGCGTATTCTTTTAGAAATCCTGCCTTGTTCTTAGAAATAGTGTTACAAAGAAGGTCGCGCTTCGCGCTGGATTTTATTTGCCCGTAACTTTTTTAATTTTTATCCGATATAAAAAAATGTGGTCTTAAAATAAAACTTATATCACAGGGATGTCATGAAATCTAAAAAAATGACAAATGTGATAAAATTCGAGATGGCGGAAAGTGATAAAAGTATAACTTTTTATTCAATTGTGGTTTCTCACGAACATTGAACTCAATTTGAAATTGAAAACAGGACCCAAATAATACTAACCCTCTAAAAACACACATAGATGCTAACCTAGGTAAAATTTGCGTGTTCCATGTTTTAAGGTGTTTTGTGTGTCTGTATGAAATGTAAGTTTTACTAGGTGTGTCTGTATATATTGTGTATGTTTTTAGTTGTGTACATACATGTAAGTATGTTTAAAGTAGAATTGAAAAAAAAAATCTCCTCATTTACACAGAATACAAAATATTAATTCCAGTCGCTTATATTTTGGAAATTTTGAGAAATAATCTAATTTTTTTTTGAATGAACAACACTCAGAACAAATTTGCGTTCATATTTTCTCAAAAATACCGCGAAATACAAATAAAATCGATAAATATTGTTAAAAGAAAGTACTAACCCACGTAAAATTTACGTACAGGGTGGCCCGTTTGAGAGGGGCCTATACCTTATCTCGAAATCTACAAGGGCTGTAAAAAAAATTTAAATACAAAAGTTGTTTCTAATAAAATTATCTACAACTTTTTTGTATTTTTTTTGGTGTCACTCTACTATATACAGGGTGGACAAATGAAATTTCATTTTTTTAAATGGAACACCCTATATTTCAATAAATTTTTAAATAGCTTTTTGAAAAACAAATTCAACGGTATACTGGTCATGTGTCTGTGGTATACCGTTTCGAACTTATTAGCGACTATCTTCAGGATTTGGCGTAATTTTCAACAGTCATTGTTATGTTACTCATAAACTTTTTAAACTTTTTTTTTGCATGATATTTTCTATAAAATCATGCTCTTCTTCAGATTATAGTCAAATTTGAAATATTTATTTAAAAAACGTGGTGTTGCCACGTTTTTCAGGCCGAAACGGTGCATCACAGACCCATTTCTAGTATATCGTTGAATTTGTCTTCTAAAGGGCTATCCAAAAACTAGGAGGTCCCATTTAAAAGAATTGTTGAAAAATTTAACATTTTGCAAAACGTGGCAACACCGCGTTTTTTAAACAAATATTTCAAATTTGACTATAGTCTAAAAAAGAGCATTATTTTATAGAAAATAATACCTATGCAAAAAAGAGTTTAAAAAGTTTATGAGTAACGTAACAATGACTGTTGAAAATGATTCCAAGTCCTGAAGATAATCGCTAATAAGTTCGAAACGGTATATCACAGACACATGACCAGTATATCGTTGACTTTGTCTTTCCAAGGGCTATTTGAAAATGTATTAAAATATAGGGTGTTTCATTTAAAAAAATGAAATTTCATTTGTCCACCCTGTATATAGGAAAGTGACATCAAAAACAATACAAAAAATTTGTAGATAATTTTATTAGAAACAACTTTTGTATTTACATTTTTTTCACAGCCCTTGTAGATTTCGAGATAAGGTATAGGCCCCTCTTAAACGGGCCACCCTGTACAGAAGTGTACTTTTGTGACACTGCCTTACTTTTTTTCATAAAACATACATATCTAGCGAATATTTTTTTCAAATTCATTATCTAATATTGTAACACATCTTCTGATAGAACAGCCGACCACCCCACAGTAACCTTACTCAAGGCAAAGTTTGCTCTGTATAATACCGTACTCGAGTTCTGAGATCTTCTCTTTACTGGTGGGTTGGGTGAAGCGTTCCACTTTCCAGGGCTGGGATCACGACAAGTAGAATTCTATACTAGGATTTGGCGTTTCGAATATGAGGCAATTTTTCGCGAGAATAATCAAGCCTAATCTGATTATGCTGGGTTATGTAATGTGTCAATTGTGTCATACTCCCCTAACTCCCTCACCATCAAATTCTGGGCCTGCGAGTGACGTCACTATAAGCAGCTTATAGTGATGATGTCAGCCGCAAACATCTATGAAATGCTTGCGATTCAGGCTGTGCTAGTGACTTAATTTTTTAGCAGCATTAGAAGCGTTTTTCGTTTATGTATGAGATCAGTGAGTACATATAAGATAAGGCTTGATTATCCTCGCGAAAAATTGCCTATGGTTTCGAACACACGCGCACTTTTTTATTTTGTGACTTGACGTGTGTATCGCGGGTTATTCGGTTATTCAGCCGATCACGGTAATCGGTAGTCGATTTATAACTAAACACCTATGTAAAAATTTTGTTATTTCTATCATTCAAACAAGTGATATTTAACCCTAATTAACAGAGTATTGAAATTTCAAAGTTTGACGCTTAGTTAGTACACAATGTCGCCAATCTAGTACAATTATTCTCTACTTTCTGGTACAAATTTTTTTGTGCTGATAGCATCTCTGGTTGTTGGTTGTACAACAGTACAACATTGAATCCGGCTCCGACCACAGCTATGTATTGTGCGCTACCAGCCCCCAGATAAAAAGACTTGTCAAATATTGAGCGATTAAAGAAATTAAGTTCTTTTAATCAATCTTTGATATCCTAATAATTTTTTTTTGGAGGCTTGAAATACGTTTTTGGGCGTGGCACCCGAAAATAATTTCTGCCTTTGGAGGCACCTGCGGTACGCTATAACTCTGGATCCCACGCGCTGGGCTTCAACTACTGGACCACTTTCGGTGTGAACTCCTTCCAGTATAGACCACGAGCCGCTACTGCTACATGAAAATAAATTGTAAAATTCAACACCTCATTTTTGATATATACATAAAAAATAATATTTAGCAGGGGGCGGCAATTCACATCTTTGCCCCCCTCGAAAAATTCGTAGATCCGGCCCTGTCTAGACTATTTATTCGCGAAATGGTAAACAAAAATCCCGATATGTAGCTTGCAGGGCGCTAACATCGATAGAATGATTGTTTTATGATTTTCGAACCCACTTTACTGAGTCACCCTGAACAATTAGATATTTGGTGCAATAATGAAAAATGCTTATTTTTGCTAGTACTACAACATACCAAATATTTAGAAAAATCGACCGGTCTCCGAAAACCCATAAGATGTGTGCGATGTCCTTTCCTAATTTGGAGAAATTGTCTACAATCGCGCAGTATTGCCTGATGACTGGAAAGTGAGTGAATTGAGTGGAAGCTAAAACTCGGACAATTAGTGGAACGCGAGTCGATAGTAAGAGATTGAGTTGTGATTTATTTTTGTGAAGCTTGATTGTGCTAGTTTGAATAAAAATATATCAATTACAGATCCTAGTCCAGTTGCTATTAAATTATACCTAATTGTATTGAATGTTTATATTAATAAAAATGAACGAAATTTACACAAAATACAGTAAAAGTCCTTCCATTGGTATTATTCTTTTATGGCTTTTAGAAAAAAAATCAAGCCTCATAATGTGGTGCATTGTTTGAATCGGTAATTTTCAAAATTGATTTCTGTATTAAATTTGTCTACTTTTCGCTTTTTTTTTTGACGAATTATTTTGCATTTCAAAATTTAGGTGGCGCATCCGTGATATTTGACCACATATTGAATCGGAGTCAAATCAGAAACAGAAACTCTGCATGGATAAGGGATAAGGTTCGAATGCGGTTCAGATAGCCATATTGTATTTCAGAAGAATTTTCCTCTTTTTTTATTGGGTAGGTATCCCGCCAAGTCTTTTGGGCATCCGAAAAATTTCAATTTTGAAATGCTTTCCGTTCTGAAAAACAAAGGTAGTTTATGAACAAAATCAATATTGTTTCATTGTTTATTTACCTACATATTTAATACCCAAGCAATTTTTTTATCTAAGTAAAAGTCGAATAAAATATTGCTGTTTAAGAGAAAATAACAATAATTATCGATTGGAATGTCTTCAATAGTACGCCGAAGTAAGGATAAAAGAAAGTTATTTTAACATAATATTTGCCTATAGAATCTAGAAATATTTGCCGAGGGCAAACTATCATAGAAACCGTGATGAATGCATCTGAATTTTTATGGCAGGTTAATTTAATAATGATTTAGTGATCAGTGGTCGTTAGGATAATACAATATTCATATTAGCTATAAGTAAGTAGCTGTCTAGTGGAAAACCAAATTATCTATCTTGCCTTTTTTCTTTTTTTTTTTTGTAATGTTGAAATCATAATAATAATTCCTATTATACCAATTAGTCTAGGAAAATTGTCGATTTTCAAAAAAAAAATTCCTACCCAAAAGAACTTTTCAGGGATGATAGGGGGAGGGTGGGTGATCATAAAACTGAAAATATTGAATATTCACCCCTCTGGCGTTTTGCGCTATAGGGGTTGAAAGTGCGCCATTGGCGATAACTTGGTACCTATTGATTTTACAAAAAAATGTTTCAAATAAAAGATGTGCAACATTATTTGATCTACAATGT